GGGGCCAGAGCAGCGAGGTCCTTTGGCTACCCCAGGGCTCTGCCCGGCAGTGACCACACAGGGGCCATGATGAAGGGTTGACCACAGGTCTCCCGGTAGCTACAGGAGGAACCAAGGGACCCAAGGCTGCAAAGCAGTACTTTAAGAGGAGTTGTAGGTAATTTCGTTTTTCCTTTTAGTGGAATAACTTAATTAATGGTCAGGCTTGGGCCTCATGACGAAAAGAACTCTCAAAGAGACATCTCATTAGAAGAATTAAATTTGTCTACACCCTCCAATTTGCTCTCTGTAACGGGCCATTCTGTACTTATTTTCATTAATCATCTCTAGAAATCTTTCAGATGTGGGATGGAAGAAGCATTAGCTATTAAATGTGCCCCCAGCTCCAGTTAGGAGACGATACGTTCGCAGAGACCAAGTGCCGTGCTGGCACTCACTAACCCTGATTTCACCTGAAGACCCTGGAGTCCCCCATCGCCGTCCCCCAGGTGGGCCTGATCAAGACCTCTGCCTGGCCCTAGTGCCACGGCCCACACTTTGGAAAGCCAGGCAAAACCCTCACCAAGGTTTCTAGAGAGCTTTTCGCTCCAGTGTCTGAAGAAGGTGAATTCTCTGTGAAGCCGTCTGTAAACTCACTCTTAAGGTTGATTGTAGGGTTGGTGGTAACTGATTGTGGATTTCAAGAGAGCCAGCAGAGGGGATTCTGCAGGTGTCCAGCACAGCAGAGCGGTGGGTGGCTCAGGTGCGGACATGCCAATTACCCTGAAGTGACATTGCATACATGTACCGACAGATCACACTGCGTGCCACGAGTGTGTGCAATAGTGAGCGTCAAGTAAGAGCAAGAAAAGCTGCTGTTGTCACTGCACAGATGCCACACCAGGCGGTCCCAGCTCCCGGCTGCCCTCGAACCACATCGTCACTGTGGAAGTTCCTGCTCAGCAGTGGCCCCATCCATGCCCTTGGCCCCCGGAGGGGTGCCCAGTCTTCCCTCCTTTGCATGCCCAATACCAGTGGAGGATGGTGCACAGCAGGCTGACCTTAAAGGCTCCACCGATGAACTGCCAGTCCAGCCTCCGGCCCTCTCAGGTGGCCTTGCCTGGGACAAAGACAATAGTGCATGGCTCCCTGGGTAAGTTCTGCCTGTTTACCCCCCTGTTCCAAACAGCCGGTGTTTCCAGGGGCGGCTGGGCGGGGGTCGGGCCCCTCTGGCAGGAGTTGGAGAAGGCACACTCGGGGCCACGTGAGGAGGGCTGAGGCTGTGCAGGCCCTGGAGAGCTCCAGAGACTAGGTTCCTGCAGCAGGGGCCCAGTTGTCGGAGGTCAGTGGGGAGGCCACGTGCTACCCGGGCTGCAAGGGGTAGGTGTGGACTGCTCGGTAGGTGAGGTGGTCTCCTGTGGTCCCGCCTGCCCTGGCAGGCTTTGTCAGGAGCGTGGGTACCTGGGAGAGCCGGCACAGGCTGTGCCCAAGCCCAGAAGCAGACATGAAGGCCTGGGAAGCTGCGGCTCTCCAGCATGTCCTCATTCAGCGTCCACCGGCCCAGGGGAGGAGCTGGCGCACGGCCACGTGAGGTGTAGGGTGAGTCCCCGCCAGCGCACGCAGCCTCGTGCCCACTGAAGCCTGGTGCCCAATTCGTCCTGCTTGCCAACCTCCATGCAGCCACAGGGCCCTCTGCTCTTCCCCGAGTGTCCGCACCTGGCCCGTCTCTCCCTGTGTCCTGTGCTGACAGAGGCGAGGGGCCTCTGCACATGCACAGCGTCCTTCCCTGTCTCACAGTGGAGGGGAGAGCCCCGGGAGGCACTGGGGCCAGTCAGGAGGACGGGTCAAGAGGGGGCCTCGGGTGAACTGGAGGGCTTTTAACACCATCACTGCACGTGGAGAGGCCCGGGGACGTGTGCTCCCCTCCTGGCCCTGGCCCACCCAGCTCCCTGGCCACCCTGGCCTTGGGTGGGGTTCAGGGCTGTCTCCTCACTGCCGCACCCCCAGCCCCAGGGTCCCAGCCACCGTGCACAGCCCAGCGGAGACAGGCCTCTCTCCTCCTTTAGCATCTTCCTCGTGAAGACTTGAAAGTTCTGGGAGGTGCTGGAGGGAAAGGGACCCATCAGTGACTGCCACCAAACGTGTGGTCGCCTTGCAGTTGCTTCCTGTGTCACGTGCGGCTGGAACCACAGGGCATTGTTGTGTCACGTTTTTCACTTAACATTGCAACAAGGATTTTGTTTCATGTGAAACGCTCAATTGTGATGTAAAACTCTGGCTCACTCTCTGACTGGCCACGACTCTGCCCTTCTGCCCAGTGGTCAGGTGAGTTCCTGGACAGAGCCCCTGGGCAGAAGCACACTTGAGGCTGAGAAGGCCATACAGGTCCCTCGGTGGTGGGCATTGGAGGTCAGCCAGCTGGAAGAATTCGTCAAAGTCCATCTCGGAAACTGGGTGCTGCTCGACTGGTCACCATTGCCGAGGGAGCAGTGAGCTGAGCTGGGGGCAGCCATGCCCGCGGGACCTGGGCTCTAGGTGGTGATTCAGGAGGCAGAGCAGAGGACACCAGTGCTGGCCTGTCATATCCATGGGTCAGAACCTTGTGACAGAGAATGTCTTTGTCCGCAGTTTTAGGCATGTTCCTGGCATTCTAGTACAGAGTCCGAAGGGCCATGTGGTCTGTGGGTCGTGGGGCTCAGCTGCTGCCCAGGGGCTGTCTCGTGTGAGAGCCCTTCTCAGGGGTCTCCAACACGCAGGAAGGGTCAGGGAGAAGTGCTGGCTTATTCTTTATAATTTCTTCTTTAGAAATGTATACAGTGAATCCCTTCTCTTAGTCCGCCTGTCACCTCTGTGACCAGAAGATGACAAGAACAGTTTTAGAGGAGGGATGTATATTTGGGGCTCAGGGTTTCAGAGGTCTCAGTCTATAGACAGCAGGCTCCACTGCTCTGGGCCCAGGGTGGTGGCAGAGGGTGGTGGCAGAGGGTGTGGCGGGAACGAGGAAGCTGGGAGAGCCCTGCCCACCAGGGATGAACTACAAACCCCAAAGGCACACCCCCAGGGACCGGCTCCTCCTGCCGCACCCACCTGCCTGCAGTCACCACCCAGTGGATTGGTTCCCTGGCGCTGTCTAGGCTTCATTACCAGACGCTTCACCTCTGAGCTTTCCCGATTGCTTCACACCTGAGCTTCTGGGGGACACCTCGTCTCTGAGCCATAACGCAGCCGGCAAGTCATTTTCTGCTTGTGAGGTCTTCTCCAGTGGTTATTTGTCTATAGCTTCTGTTAGATTTTCCCCAGTAACACAACGTCTGCCCCAGTTGTTCCACCCAGGGGACACCATGCCAGCCTCACTGTTCCCAAGAGCCTGGGCACCAGGAGAGGCGCTGTGAGCGGGGCCCACCTGCAGCAGTCCTGAGACTGCCTCACACCTGTCTTTTTCTGGGTCAATCTCAGTCATCCTTGTGTTGCTGGACAGGGCCCTCTTGTTTGGGGGGATCATTCTCCCACCTCCTGTTGAATGTGCTGACATCTTGCTGACAATTTTCCAATCTACCTTCAAAGTGAGGAGGATCTGTGCCTTTCCTTTTTCCTTTGTATTTATGAGATTCTGATTTGTGATGGTCAGATTCCTTGTAGTCCCCAAAATGCCCAATAGCTTTCTTTTTCTCTACTATTAAAAAAAAAATCCAGCATGAGAGTTAACCTATCGTCTGCAAATTCTGTTTTAAAAGTTCATGCATTGCCAGTGCCAAGGGATCTCCCCCCTTCCTCTGTCCTTCTATCTCCCTCTCTTCCTTTCCTCAGGGCTGTTTTTACAGCTATGAATTTGACTTTTAGCTCAGCTTTGGCCTTCTCTCCTAAGTTCTGATATGTAATATGCTGCCTTTCAATGCCATGTCCGTGAAATGGTCTGTGTGAAGTCTCCGGCCATGGCCCTGTGGAGAAGGGACCTGTTCTCACATGCACTTGGAGCATATAGCAAACGGGTGCATTGTAGGCCATAGAGAAAATGCCAGTGACCAAAGCCCAGCTGCGGTCCTCCTGCAAGCACAGCCCATGAAGCCGACAGAGCAGAAGCCCCCACCCCTTGAGTGAGTTAAGTGCACTTTTCTATAGAGAGTCACTGGGTCAAGGGAATCGGAATGTTTCACTATAGAAATCAGCTAAATGCAAAAGAAATGGTAATGCAGAAAAATAAGGGATAAAAACCTCTCAGGAATATATAAAAATTTAGGCTCAGTAGGTTTTAAAGAGATAGATATTATACAAAGTATCTTTTCTGACCACAACATGATGAAGTTAGAAATCAGAAACAGATTTTTATATCTCTCTGGAAAGAAGGAAAATGGGAAGATCCACAAATTAAACAATGCATGCTTAACATCTAGAGCATTCAAGAGGGGATCTCAACAAACATTAGAATATACCGAGGGGGAGTGAGAGTGAAAACACGGCACCAAAACTCACTGATGCAGAACAGTAGTGCTAAGAGGTAAATCTATAGCTATGAACTCTTCCATTAAAAAGAGAAAAGAACTCAAATCCACAACCTAACTTTGAAACTGAAGGAACTAAAAATAATTAAATAAAAAAAGAAGCTGGGATTGTGGCTCAGAGGTAGAGCACTCACCTAGCACGCATGAGGCACTGGGTTCGATCCTCAGCACCACATAAAAGTAAAATAAAGATATGTGTCCACCTCTACCTAAAAAATAAATATTAAAAAAATATATTGAAGAGGAGGTAACAGGTAGCACTTCTTAACTCAAATTCTATGAGGCCGATATTGTTCTGATGTCAAACCCAGACAGAGACACTGTAAGAAAAAAAACCAACAACAACAAACCAACAAGTGGTATCCCCAATATCCCAGACCAATATCCCTTATGAACATTAGTGCAAAAACCTTTAACAAAACATTGCAAATCAAATTCAGTGTAAAAGGGTTTATTTCTGGAATGGAAGGATGTTTTAACATATGAAAACCAATCAAGATAATACAGCACATTAACAGCAAGAAGGAAACAACACAAATAGTCATCTCAATCAATGTGGCAAAAGCATTTGGAAGAACCCTGCACACTTCCATGATAAAAACACTCCACAAGCTGGTGTCTGTGAGAAATTCCTCAACATAGTGAGACTCATGAATTGAAAACCCATCAACCCAACATGAGACTCCGTCTGAGATCGGGGACCCGCAAGGACACTTCCCCCACTCTGCTGCTGCTCAGTGTGGTCTGGGTGACTCTGCTCAGTCGGAAGTTCCTCGCCACCCTGCCTAGGCAAGAAGAAAAATAAAAGACTTCCGAATTTGAAAAAAGAAACAGAATTACTTTGTTCATGGATGATATGATCTTATATATAGAAGACCTCAAGGATTCCACAAAAAATGTTAGAACTAATCAATAATTCTACAAAGTAGCAGGACACAAGTTCAGTGCACAAAAATCATTTTCATTTCTATACCCTCACAATGAGCAATCTGAAGAGGAATTAAGAAAGCCATTTCACTTACTCTAACATCCAAAAGAATAAAATACTCAGGAATTAACTTAAGCAAAGAAGTAAAAGACTTGTACAATGAAAATTATAAACTGTTGCTGAAAAAAGTTATATAAGACTTAAATAATAGAAAGACATTCATTCATGTTAATAGATTAGAAGGCAATGCTGTTAAAATATCAAAACTAAAGTGATTTATAGATTCAATGCAATCCTGTTAAAAAGCCAAGGATGTTTTATACAGAAATGAAAAGTCCACCTTGAATTTCATATGGAGTCTTAGGAATCCTGGACAGACAAAACCATCCTGAAAAAGAGTCACGTTGGAGGACTCACACTCCTGGTCTCCAGACAGGAATGAAGTGGCGTGGTATGAGCATGCAGACAGCCACACAGACCAGAGACCAGGACAGAAAGCCCCAGGGATTTTCAACAAAGGTGTCAAGTCCATTCTGGCTTGGGGAGGAGTGTCTACCCACAACGTGCTGGGGGGACCGGGTTTCCCACGCCAAAGACTGATGTTGGACCTTGGGGGAGGTATTTGCAAACTATGGACCTGATAGGGACCGTGTGACTCTATAGAGAGCACACATATAGAGACTCCTGAAATTCAACAACAAAAACCTGAAAAGCCTGATCAAATCCAGGCAAAGGACTCGAGTAGACATTTATGAAAGAAGATTTATAAATGGCCCATAAACCCGCGAGAAGTTGTGCCCCGTCAATGATCATCAGGGCACAGAAACCTGAGCACCACCCGTGAATGAGATGGCTACTACGGAAACCAGAACAGAGTGGGGGGAGGGGAGGGGAAAGAAGAGGGGGAGGAGGGGGAGAGGAAAAGGAGGAGGGAGAGGAGAAGGAAGAGGAGGAGGAAGAAGGGGTGAGGGGAAAGAAAAGGGAGGAAGTGGAAGAGGAGGAAGGCTGGGAGGGGGGAGGAAGGAAGGGGGAGGGGAAAGCAGAGGGGGAGGAGGGCGGGGAGGGGGAGAGGGAGGGCTGGGGGAGGGGGAGAGAGGAGAGGAGGGGGAGGAGGAGGAAGGGGAGGCAGGAGGAGGGGACTTCTGTTCTGGCAGGTGCTGGGACAGTGCGGAGGAGGCTCTGGGCGGTGTCCATGTGCTACTGATGGTTCACAAGGAGGAAGCGACTTCAGGCCTTTGTTCAGAGGGTGACCAACGTCTACGCATCAGGATGTTGTCAGCTCCACTTGAGGGAGTTGTGTCCCACCTTAGAGTTTTTCTTTGTTTTCTACGTTTGCCGTAACGGGGAATTTTGTCAAAGCATGTGGCTGTTGAAAACTGCTATCGTTTCTTCTAGTTCTTTCTGTGCTGTACAAATGTGCACGGTCCAGCACATGAATTTGCCCCTCTGAGTGAGCAGTCTCATTGCTAAGCCACCTTTCAGAGGAGGAAACCAAGGAGCGAGGGGCAGAGTGAGTCAGGCCGCGGTGGGGTCAGGCCCAGGGGCCGGGCTGCTAGGTGAGCACCTCTGGCTAGGGCACGGGCTGCACAGGGGGGTTTCAGGAGACGTGCCATCCTGGGAGAGGGCTCCGGCTCCCCAGGAGTTAGGGATGCCTGCCAGGCAGCCCTGGGACCAGACGTGTGCAGCCACTGGGCCCAAGGATGGAGCAGAGGTCTTTCTCTTTCCTTACCTGTAGAAGATTTCTGAGTGCTGCGTTAAGGCACGATGCTCGGGGTGCCCGGCTGAGACCAGTGCGGCAGGGAGAGGTGAGAGTGGGCTGCTCCGAGTTTCGGCCTTGCGTTCTGCCCTGCAGAGCCTTTCTGCAAGCCTGCAGCTCCCGTGCCTCTGGAAGACTGCCGCTGGGAGAAAAGAGCCACCAGTGCAGCCTGTGAGGATCCCTGAGCTGGTGAGCTGGTGGCCAAAAGCTCCAACCTGCCCTGGAAGCCTGAGCTGGGGTGAGCAGTGGCTGCCTGGCCCAGCAGGAGCAGGGTGGACCCACCAGCGTACCCTACCACCCACCTTCTGTTTTGTCCTCTTTCCAACAGAGCTGCCTGACCACACCACCATGGTCTGTGCTGGCCTGCCTCCACGCCACCACATCGAGCCTTCAGCAACCTCTCCTGACACACGAAGACACACTAGGATGAGTACAGCAGGGCAAAGTGCGATTCAGGAGAGGAAAAGCCCATGCACACGGAGGGACACGTGGCACTCACAGACACAGCCTCACTCCCCAGCAGGCACCCGGCAGACCACATGCGAACACACTCCAGACAGACGTGAGTGCACACTCACCCAGATGTAGAGACACACTCACAGTTTGGCTTGACCCAAGCGCACACTCACAGGGAGACACTAACTCACCCTCAAAGGGAGGCATGAACTCACACAGATAGATGTGAAGTCACACTAACAGTTGTGAGCTCATAGTCTCAGGGAGACAACAACCCACACTCATGATAGAAAACCCACAAAGGCAAATGTCAGTTCACACAGAGAAATGAACTTATGCCAACAAATGGACACGAATGCACACTCACGGGGGATGAGAACTCACTCACAGATGGGCAAGAACTCACACTCACTGGAGATGCGAACTCACTCTCACAGACAGGCGTGGACTCACACTCATGGGAGATGCAGTTCACTCTCACAGACAGGCATGAACTCACACTCATGGGAGATGTGAACTCACACAGATAGGCATGAACTCACACTCATGGGTAATGAGAACTCTCACAGACAGGCATGAACTCATACTCACAGGGAGATGTGAACTGTCACAGACAGGCATGAACTCACAGGGGAGATGTGAACTCACACTTACAGATAGGTGTGAACTCACACTCAGTCACGAACATACATACACAAACATACATATTGAATAATGCTTATTGCTTTTGAAATTTATTCGTAAAATTGAGCTCTGCTCCACACAGCGGACCCCAGTCCAGTCCTTCCCCTGTGTTTGGTCGCTAGCTTTGCTGCTTCCAGTGCTGAGACGTTCTGGGGAAGTCCGGGTTCAGGGGTGCAGTCCCAGGATCTTCCAGTTGCTCCAGGTTGCTTCCAGCCTCCCATCTGAAAGGCTCCCAAAGGTGGAGGTGGAGGTGGAGCAGAGGACAAGAGGGATCAGCTGCTAGCCAACTTGGAGCCTGGTGGCACCCACCCCGCAGCCAACCCTCGGGGACCTGCAGACAGGCCACTCTGCGCAGGCCAGTGACTGGGTGCCAGTCCAGGGGCTGTGTGGGCCTGTAGTGGCTTCAGAGGCTGCTGTGGAGGGTGGGCACCCCACTGCCCTGTGGTTCCGGGAGGACAGGGTGACGGTGACTTTCAGGTACAGAGTGGCTGAGGGCAGGGACTCAGGCACAGGTGTATGGTGGCCGCTTAGTGTGATGCTGCTCTAGGAGACACAGGAGCCTGAGAGACCAGTGGAGGGTACTCCTGTCCTCACTGTCCTGTGATGGCCCTGTGTCTGCCCTGGGTCCCCTCCCAGGCTGCAGGCACCTGGGTCCCAGAGCCCCTGGCTAGCTGCACCCCTGTCAGGCAGCCGACGACCGAACCTCTCTGTCCACCTACTGCACAGCTCTCCAGATGCACAGCCCCAGATCCGGGCTCAGTGTCCCAGAACGAGGGGTGTCCTACTCTGGGCGGTGAACTGCTTCAATGTTCATCCTGAGACATTTCAAACTTCCAACTTCAAGAAATTCATTTTTAACTGATGCTTTTTCACAGACAGGCATGAACTCACACTCATGGGACATGTGAACTCACACAGACGTGAACTCACACTCATGGGGCTGTATGTGGCATTCCTCTTTCATGCAGACGTCCAACTACATATCATATCCTCCTCTAGCAGGTGGTTGGCAGGATACCCTGGTTTGTTTAGGTGATCTGCCAAAATGGTCTTGCATTTTTTAATGGTTGGAGAAAATCAAAAGAGGACTGGCCTTTCTTGACCTGTGGAAATGATGGGACGTTCTGATCTTAGTGCCTACTGCAGCTTGGGGGTGTGCAGCCACATTTGCCTAAGTTCACATCCCGCGGGGTGGCATTGTGGTCCGAGTTGAGTAATTCCCGTCTGGCCTGTTTCAGAAAAGGTTTGCGGGTCCCCGTTGGAGATGAACGCACAAACTCTGTGTTAAACGTCCTGCTCGTGACAGTTCAGAATTTTAATAAGCATGTGATTTTTCTTGACAATGTCCCACATTGTGCTGTTTATGAGTAGACCCACATTGTGCTGTTTATCTATAATCCGTCATAAAGGAAAACGACGGGATTCTATTCTGTGAGACTTCCAGATAAGCCCCAGGCTGCAGAGTGACAGACACACGTGGGGCAGAGACATCTTGGTCCCACACAAACGTTTTCAGTGCAGTAAAGGAAATTTCCTTTGGCAGAGAACTTCGAAATCTGTTTTGTATCTGTTCTCACATGTCCATAAGTACATGAATTGCAAAATATTTGTGCATTTTCAAAGCTCTCTAAGCCACTGTCAATGTTCAATGAGACAAGGGGGCCCTTCCTTTCTCCGGAAGGAGTGTGGATGTGTAAATATGGCCAATTATGAGGTAGCCCTGAGGAGTCCAGACCACGCCGCAGACCCATGCAGCCCATGTGTGTGGTGGCTTTGGTTTATCCTTTGCACATGATAAACCAAAACACCAGTAGATGCCACCTGCATGCTGTGGACACAGTGTCCGACCATGGCCACCTGTCTAGACATCCCCACTTTACAGCCAAAGAAACTGAGGTTTTAGAAACCCAGGGCACGAAATCCAAGCACAGGCAGTGGTGGTCGGGGCTGGGCTTCTGGTTCTGAAACGGTGTTCCATGTTCATAGCTATCGAGGGGAATGCAGAGCGCCTGGAGGGCACGCTGACAAGCTGTAGCTGGGCTTCATGGGTCAGACACGGTCATTCTCAGGACAAGCTCCTGGAGTGCTGACCTACTGCGGGGCCACAAGGCCATGGTGACAAGAGGAGCGGGGCTCCCGTCAGACCACTCATGGTGCAGGTGTGGTCACCACACGAAGGTACTTAGAGGCTGAGGGTCTGGAATGCATGGGGCCTGCACTCAGGTGCGTCAGCACTGACCTTGTGCCACTGACAGCTGCCAACTGTGTCTGCAAGTTCAGCGATTTCCAGACTGACCAAAGGCTCTGGCGGGAAGCAAGGTCCCTGCTCAAGCTCAGGGTCCCCTTCCACACTGCCTCGCGGCTTCTCCATCTCTGGGCATTTCTCAGTGAGTCTCCTGCATGCTGTGGTGTCCACGCTGTGGTGTCCACACTGTGGTCTGGTGTGTGGGAGGTAGCTGGGTCTGGCCTGCAAGGTCGCAGCGTGGAATCAGCCTGTTGGAGGCAGTGGCTCCCTGTGTCCTACCGCCTGAGGGGACAGTGCCCAAGGCCCCGTCTGGGCTCGCAGCTTCACGACCATGTGTCTGTCCACTTCTGTGATCTGTGGTTCCAGCGATGGCAGAAACCCACAGTGGAAGGCCTTGCTGTTGCCCAGGTGGACGGCTGTCCAGGTCACTGGACCCGTGACACAAGCCTCCAGGGCCTTGTTCTCAAAAGTTCACAGATGGTGGAACTGCCACCCCTGCTCCCCAAGGGCAAGCCCAGATGTCCACGGCCCAGCTCTGAAAGTGGACCTCTAGTACCTTTCCATCCGTGGGGCCTCTAATGGCCTCAGGGTGATGGTAGCCCTGGCTGCTTTGTTCAAGGGACTGTCGAGCAGCGTGTGGCACGATGTCACCATGGCTAGACACATTCATGGGCTCAACACTTTGGGTAGATGTGAGCCAAACGGCTGTGGTCCTGGCTTTGGAGCAGGGGCGAGGGCCTGCGGGAAACAAATTTGGAGGGATGGTGGGGACCCCAGCTTGCCACATTCTATTTGAATGGCTTTCATAACAAATGCGTCATTTTTAGTGTCAGAAAAGACACTAAAAGCCCATTGGGAGGTGTGGCGCCTGGCGTCTGAGGGCTGGCGGGGCTCTGGCTCAGCTCATTCCCACTCGGCCTCCACCTGGGTAGGGCCTCCAGCCTCCCCAACCTGCACGGGCTCTCGGTGGCTGCCTTGGGGCCGCTCCCTCCTGTGATGCCCCTTTCCCACCACCCAGTGTCAGCCTGGCCCCCAATCCCCCAGGCCTGGTCTTGTGCTTGGGCTGCAGTTGCAGGACCGCATTTCTGCTTAGCCGTGTGGGCAAAGCCTGGCGCGCACCTTAAGCAACAGCCCTCAAGCTCCTGATGGTGATGTGGCGCCTTGGTAATCTTGGATGTATGCAGCGCTAGGGATTGAGCTCAGGGACCCCACCTCTGAGCCGCACTCCTGCCCCTTATACTTTTTATTCTGAGTTTTATTGCTAAGCTGCAGAGGCTGGCCTTGAGCTTGTGAGACTCAGCCTCCGGGTTGCTGGGACCACAGGTGTGCGCCACGGCACCTGGCTTGTGTTGTGTTCTGCAGACTGTGGGGAGGGGATGCTGCTGGATGGCTCCTTTGGCATCCTGGATCTTCTGAGAGCAGAGCCGTGGGTGGGAGGCTGGAGACCATTTGGCTGAGACCAGTGCCGATCACGAAGTGCCCTGGGGCCACCCAGGGTGACACAGAGCTGCAACTCCTCAGGCCCTGTCTCCAGGTCTCTGTGGGGCACCAGTGGGTTTGGGAAACTGCCTGATGGGCAGGCAGCAGGAGCAGGGTTGCTGGTAATGGCTTAAGTGTGTGATTGTGCCCTTCCTCTCTGGTGGGACACATCACATCACATGCTAGTGGCCCTCTTATTTGCACAGTAATTCATTCAGTTACGCCTGAGGTGGCCACAGAATCTGCAGCTGCTCCCCTATGTGGCAGCCATGGCCTGGGTCCTGCACACTGGGCCTACCACACTGCACAGGGCTTTGGCAAGGACTGGAGAATCTCAGCCTTTTCTCTGTAAACAGGGCAGCCGTTTTTGCAAAGAGGTGGGTGAAAAGACATATTTAAAAATCACTGTGTTCTCAGACTTAAGCCACTAGTTTTTAGAAATTGTGAGGGGGGGGTGGAGCTACCGCTTTTCTTTTATTCTGCCGCTTGTTGAAAAATAATTTTTCTTCTTGGCCTGCAAACAAGAATTGTAAAACATCAAT